AAAATAGGAGATTTTGGAGCATTTTTGTGCAAATAGCATGAACTATAGCCCATGGTTTTGATCTAATGTGTCCCATTTTCACACCTTTTTCAAAATGATGATTTATTTATGAGGATTTGCAATGAGAAGATTTTCGGCCATTTTCAAGCAAAAAGCATGGACTATAGCCCATGGTTTTGATCGAATGTGTCCCATTTACACACCTTTTTAAAAATGATGAATTATTTATGAGGGTTTGAAAATAGGATATTTTCGGCTGTTTTCGGACAAAAAGCATGGGCTATAGCACTCTATATTAGATCTTTTTAAATTTTGGTAATTCCTTAGATTTGCCTCATAATTCCTGAAGAGTCTCAATACAAAGCTCGGCCAATCAACGAAATTCCTGAAGGCAGTGATCGCAAGATCATTGCTCAAATGTGACTCTGCGTGCGTTACGAATATTTCATCCCGATAAACCCTATGGCAGGGCTCTAGAAGTCTCAAGACTGCCAATGCTCTTCTAAAGAAGATAGGCAATTGCAGCCAAACTGTTCAATGAAGTGGTTAGTAACCACCAACACAGTCTAGCTACAAAAAATATCAGAAACTATACACTGAGGGGGGAATGGACTTTGTTCTCCCCTTGTGCAAGACCGACCGTTGCAAGACTCGATTCTGTATGCGCATAACAAATTCCATCACAACAAATTGACCTTTTCACTGAGAATAAAGAATTAGCTAACGGGGAATCCCCGGTGCCGATACGTATGTAGTTTTAATGAAGAGTTTTCTCCTTCGATCTTCGGTTATTTCTTTATATGTTACAGCGTTTTCAAAAGACATGGGATGTTTCTTGGTTGGAGTATTGTTTCTATCTGGTGTTATTCGTGCCACGGTAAGTGACTTCTTGTAATTGGTTTTCATTAACAACTCTTGCGACTGTCTAGAGTTATAATTCGAATAAGTATTTATCTTAAGAAATGTCGTCAGCACTTTTAGAGTGTAGAAATGTATCTAAGCAGGCTTGGCCTTGCCTTCGCTACATAAGGCAATTAAGACTAGCTCTTTAGGATTGCACAAGAAACTCCGTTCTCAACAAAGTTAATTAAGTCTTTCAATAGTGACAGTGGCCATAGATAGATGTAAATGTATATATATTATGGTCCACGACGTACCACAAGCAGGGACGGCGGTTGAATGAGGGAAAGAGTAGGTCACATCTCGCTTTCTCACAAACGTTAAGTTTCTCAAAATGTTTTCGTAAAGGTTAAAATAAGGTTTGACGGAATGTACATATATTTCACAAAACTGCGACAGTTTGGTATCAACTTTCCAAAGTCTTGAGCAAAAAACCATATAAATCTTGATCATCCAAACCTTAGCTACGAGGGAAGTCATACTAAAACTATCCAGTGGCTTTCCTTAAACTCTTTCTACTAACTCAAGCCTACGCAACTGGACCGAAAGGGGTTAGCAATCACTGAAGCAGTTGACTGCATAATTTTACCTGATTAATTATGCTTCGGGTTTACAAGACGAACTATGATGGTGAATTATGAATTAAATCAAAACTACTTTGTTTTCCTTTTCCTAAGCATTTAGTGGGTTATTGCTCGCCATTCGTTCGCCATTATTATCTTGTTACTAGCAAAAGCAAAGAATTCAGAACGAATATTTTAACCGTGATTCTTACCCATATTCCCTTTGGGTTCAGACGCGTAGGCCGGTCGACGACAACGTTTTTGGAATCGACAGTATACATATTAAAACCTCACTCAGGCGTGGATCCGGCTAGGATTTGTAAAATGAAGAATAGACCTTATTCGTGGTGTGACAATGTTTTCCCAATTCAACGTGACAAACCTCTGGGGGAAGGAAGAGCTATTGTTTTGCGACTCGTCGGGATATCATCGTTATTCCTTTCGTATCCTTTGGGATACTCATGATTTTTGGAAGAGTAAAAACAAAAGAAAATGAATCCTCTGGAGGTTTGTCACGCTGAGTTGGGAAAACATTGTCACACCACGAATAAGGTCTATTACAGGGTGCCTCGAGGTAATACCACAGGTAACCCATGAAAAGCAGAAAATGGTATAACCTCCTCACCACCTTCCTCGCCTCTCCTCCCCCTTCCCTGCTCTCTCAACTTGTTGTATGGTCATTCTTTAGGTAGAACGACGCCCCCGCGATGATTCCATATGCCCTGGTAACCAAATCACCTGGATTTACAAAAATAGTGGTCAAGTGATTGGTTGTTCGCCATGTCCTGCTTGTCCACCAGGAACAGAATACTCCATTCCTTGTTCTACTAAAGCAGTAAATGGTACACCGGCCAAATGTATGACTTGTCCGCGTGGAAAGTTTTCCAACAAATTCGACAATAAGCCATGCGTTGCTTGCACACGATGTTCAAAAAGATATGCAAAAAAAGGTTGCACACCACATGGAAATGCTGTCTGCGGAGGCTGTAAAGCCGGATACTATGACAATGAAATTTCATTTAGCTGTGAGGAATGTGGAAGGTGTTGTCATGACGGCAAAGATGAAGCACCATTGGGATGTGCAAGGGTAGGAATGTGTAAAACTAGACCCTATGGTTGTCCCAAACTTAACAGAACCCCAACAAAACCTAGAATGAACTTGACAATTAAGGAATCTTTGGCCAGCAAAATATTTACACAACAAGTTAAAAAATTTCAGAGGCGATCAACGAATAAACCCAGGACATCCTCGAGCCCCTCAATACCGTTCCTTACAAAATCAGATAAGGAAAGAACGCACTTCACATCTCAAGTAGAACAAGGCCGCTCAATGAATAACATTCGTCATGAAGACACAGCTTTGTCACAAACTATTGTCCTGTACATTTTGCTAAGTCTACTTGTACTCATACTCATTCTTTTGGCTGTTGCTGCAATTAAAATTAATATACCCTTCAAAAGAACCCAGCGACCAGAATTAGTCAGAAACCTTAGCTCAAGTTATACGACCAATCCATTCATGCCTGTGCCTACCCCTGAAGGTAAGTGAATTGATTCACCAAGTGATCGACTGTTTCTTTGAGTGCAATATCTTTGACAAGTGCTGTTTTATTGCAGACCGAACACTCGAAGATTTTATTGAAAAGTGCCATGATGTCGTTGAAAGCGTATGCGTTCTCCTTGGTGACAAGCAAAAAAGAGGAATGTGGGACTTCGAGAGGGTGGCAGCGAGATTTGGACTAACCCAAGAAGAAAGAATCAGCATAAAGAACCAAACAACCATAGAGGGGGGCAATGCAACACGGCAACTTATGGAGGTTTTGTGTTCTAAAAGGCCTAAAATAACTGTTAAGCAGTTTGCAGAAATCGTAAAAAATATTAATAGGAATGACGTATTCGATAAACTTCAGCCGTTTTTATCTAACTAGGCTATATCTATTAGTCTCACCACAGGTAGCCCACTGGGCAGAATCAGTTATCATCTGGGATATAATTGATAAAGATGCTCTAAATTCAAACCGCGTATATGCATAAAGCCTCTACAAAGATCTTAACTGAAATCGATAATGTAGAACGAGTCAGGTTGAGTATACCCAGGGTACAACATGGGGTGGGTTGGGTATACCCAGTGTACAACATGGGGTGGGTTGGGTATACCCAGGGTACAACATGGGATGGGTTGAGTATACCCAGGGTACAACATGGGATGGGTTGAGTATACCCAGGGTACATCATGGGGTGGGTTGAGTATACCCAGGGTACAACATGGGGTGGGCTGGATATACCCAGGGTGCAACATGGGATGGGTATACCCAGGGTACAACATGGGCTGGGTATACCCAGGGTACAACATGGGATGGGCTGGGTGTACCCAGGGTACAACATGGGATGGGATGTGAAGTTATAAAGTTTGTATTTGAGCTTTGCCTAGGATAAAAATTAAATTCAGGGGTCCATCATTTCTGTCAATGCCCTGTCAAAATATGATTTGTGGGTGTGAAAATGTGACTAAGCACTTGATTAAAAACCGTGATCGATACAGTTAAAATACATGGTTTATTAATAAGTAGCTGTAACAAGAATTAATAATACAATGTCCCACTAAAGACTTAGTTCAAGTTTGTTTCAGGTCACCGTCTCTCAACATTTCATGAGCGTAGAAGAATTATTGATTTCAATGTCTTACTTGCGTGACGACCTTTATTCTAACTTCACTTACAAAGTATTTAAAAAATTAAAACTGTAAACTAGAAAGTGTAGTCCTAAACTTCTTGATCGTTGTATTAAAGTGTGATTACATTTTCTTTTTGTGTTCTTCCAAAGTAGCTGCTACCATCATAGCACTGTTTGAGCGAAGATGTGGCACATTCGAGATGCTTGATTCAAACAAATACAGTAAAACCCCGCGTATAAGAACCTAAAATTTAAGAACCTGTCAGGCTGAAATTTTCATTTTAAGCACCCTTCACAAAAGAACCATTTCAGGCTGAAATTTCAAAGTAGGTTCTTAATTTCCAAATATAAAGTCAATCTGTTTTATTTTCTTGTAAATAATAAAATACAGTAATCTGAATGGTATGATAGAGTGCTTACACGCGAGCACTGTGTCCATGAAATAAGATCGAAATAGTTCGTTACTGTTTGCACTCTACTATATTCCATGTAGCTAGCATAAAAATATGGGAATTATTTAATGTATAAAATGTCACACCCACCAGAACAAGTACTCTTTTTCTTACCAAAAAGTAAGAACCCATGCATTTAAAAACCTAGATAGCCTGATTTCAAGTTAAGCACCATTTATATAAGATTCTGTTCAGGCTGACTTGGAAAAATCTAGGTTCTTATACTCGGGGTTTTACTGTAGTCTGCTTCTTTCATTTCATTTCTTCTTCCATACAAGAGCTATTTATCTTGGCTAGCTTGTGTTGCAGAAAGAATAGATGGCTCCCATCATCCTAAATGCGAAGGATCGTATTGATTGAGACAAATTCGAATTTATTTTAGAATTGAGTATAAAACCTTAATGAGGTGTATTTCCTTTGATTATACAGGACGCTGGTTTAGAGTTGACGTTTTTCAAGCGCTTGAGGTATTTGCTAAGCATGCTTTATGGAAGCTAGATGCACAAGTGCACAGTGTGCGCAAAATGAGACAAAACTGAACACCCGATGATGGTAGGTCAATCAGTACGATTCGCTTACCGAGTGTTTGACCGGATGGTGTTCTTGATTTTCTGCACGAACAGATGCTGCCTTCGATAAGAATAACGCCTTGGTACGACGATTACGAAGAAAATGATCCCCTATAGCAGCCCATAAAGTATCAGAGCGCAGAGGTAGACAGCAGATGAGTAAATTGCCGTCGAACGTTCCTAAGTGGTAAAAGTATTTCACGAGTGAGCGCATCGGAACGAGATGATAAACTTCATATCTTCAAGTCAACGTGTAATTTTCTTTTCATTACATAGACACATCTACATACAAAAACTTATTGCAATGCGCGTTAAAGTGAACGGGAAGACATCGGAAGTAACGTCATCGATATCTCCATGTGTGAGGATATGGAAAATATGTCAATGAGGTCCCGGATGTAGTTAGATGTAGAAAAATACGAGCAAATAAAGCACTAATGTCTGTATAGTAATAATAATAATWATTATTATCGGAATGATTTATAATAATCATTATATTATTCAATCTCGTGTCAAATATGGTGTTGGGTTGGACACTAGAAGAGACCCCCCGTGTAGTCGTACGTAAATAAAATATTTTGCTCTTACGAATCATTTTTTAAAATGTGAAAAGACGATTTATGTCAATGGAAGGAGATTGTTTAATGTGAAATATGTCCAACCAATTGAACTTTTAATATGCGGCCTGTCACGATCTTGGTGCAAGTATCCTTAAACCTGTTCTGTCCAACAACTCGTAAAATATACATTTTGTAGATGAAATTTGTAGATGAACAGTTTAATAGCTCTTTTTGTAATTGAATGCTATATGTAAGTATCAACGAAAGTAAAACATTCACAGATGAGCTTTAATATGATCAAACGGCTTCCTGTGACGAGTTTCATGGTACTCTCTGTATGTGAAATACGAAACTTTGGGAGATTTGAATAATGTCCTTAGAAAGATATTTTAAATGTTGACCATTTCAATGACTAGCGGCATATTTGCCATCCTAATCAAGATTAAAACAAAAAGTCTTGAAAGGAAATATCGTATAATGATATTAAGCAAAAATTACAATAACTGAAATTATAGTTATATTGATTAATTTAGAAAAATAAGTGCAATATTACCAAGATACCTATGATGATGAATATTCAGGTGTGTCTTTTTTATAGAGGCAAAAATTAAGTCAACATCACTTATTTGTTAATCTTCAGTTTTTGATAATCTTGATTGAAACCTTTGACGTCACAGTCTATAAGAGATTATTGCTATATATGTTGACCGACATATATCCGCAATCATGATGGCAAGCCAGAAAGATATATTATGGCATTTGCTGCTTCGAATTAACATCTTATTCTAGAGTCGAAAACATCAGCAATGACACGACACTTCGGCGACTTAGTTCTGGTTGAACATGAAAATGATGTATTGAATTGGTCCGCTACTAATGAGGATCCATTGCCTGCGAGGATTCAAAAAAAGTGTAAATCAACCAGATGTTTTCATTTGAGCAACTCTACAATCGCCATCTGTTCGTTTCTAGTGTTTTTTTCTGTCATATCCTTGACAATATATTTTGGTCTTCGGCAACATATGAATGGTAAGTCTTTTTTTCTCTTGCACTTTTGACTACTAACAACTCACTTGGTAGAGCAGCAAAAATAGACTTTTTACGTTATTGTTAGTATAAACACTATTACAAAAGCGATTATGAGACGGTGTTTGGGAAAAAAAATGAATATTCAACTCTGATCATCATCGACTCGGACTTAATGCTTTCCCGTTCCCAAATCTTATTGAGATCTTGCAATCCGCAGACTGTAATTTAATATTTCTCAGACTGAATTTTTATTCGAAGATTAGAAGTCATCCGGCATAGATGGTAAAAGCAAAACGTTTAACCATTCAACTACACGAAAATAGGGTTTTCATACTGAAAATATAGCTAAATTGGAAAAAGATTATTCATATTTAAGAATATATATTGTGTTGGGGTTACCGGATGAGATGATATCGGTAATACTTTCTGCACTGTGCCAGCGGCCTAACTCTGATATCATTAATCGTGTTATGTCGTCCGTCATGAGATATGAGGGTAATGAACATGCTTCTTTTTTTTTGAAGGTCCTGAAGCTGCATGGTCAAACGTCATGGTTAATGATACGAAAAACGCAACCGCGACCAAAGTACAACTACCTTACGGTGTTAGCCACCATTCGTGGGAGTACAACAAACTGATCCTTCATGCGTGGCTGGGAACCTGTCTGTCAGTAGGATTGCTCATAACATTAACGCTTATTATACTAGTTTGTACTTTCTTATGGAAAAAGCACAAGAAAACCTTACGAAAACACCGCGGGAAACTGCAAGAGAACAATTACAATGACATAGATGTCATAGAAATGAAAGGATCAATGTTAACTGCTCATCAGTCCGTCCACCCAAAAACATTACTTTCAGACACTGACAAATAATTATGATTATTACTGGTAGTGTGCATGATCAGTAGAGTGACTTTATTTAACTCGTAAAATAAAAATGACTATTTAGTTCAGTAGCACTAGTTGATCAAAAGAAAACAATGGGTTTAGATTCTACTACTAACTATATGAGTACTATTATTTTACGGGTTAAATTAGATCACTCTATTGATGCAGTGAGAGAATAGTGATGGTGTACTATATTCACTCTATTGATGCAGTGAGAGAATAGTGATGGTGTACTATATACTCTATTGATGCGGTGAGAGAGATGGTGTACTATATACTCTATTGATGCGGTGAGAGAATAGTGATGGTGTACTATAATCATCTAAAAAAAACATGCTCGATCATTGAAGACTCTAGTTTTTTACTGAGTAACTTCAGTATTGACTTTTTCCAGTCAATCAAAAATCGTCACTGAGATGACTTCAGGGTAGCTTAGAATAAGTTCCGAGGCTGAATCGGATATGAAAAATATATTATCTAGTGAAAGACTTTTAATCGAGACCGAATATGAACGTGACAGTAAATGTGTCTGCGCTTACATTTACTTTACACTAATGTACTTACGTCAGTGTTAATGATAGTATTTAACTAGCATCATATCATCACGGCACATGTTGTATTGATAGATACTCTTTATAGGCTATGCTATACAATGTTAGTATAATATATCTGATACTGTGAATAACAAAAATAATAACAGCTCATAAAGAGGATGAAAGAATCAAAGCAAGAATGAATATTAGAGATTAGGACATTACGAATTATATATAATACTTGTTCTTAAGTGAATTTATAAAGGATACGACCCATTACAATGTTATGGTACAAATTCATGTTCATTAAATATATGAAGGATACGACCTTAATCTTTCAGCTCTGTTACCCAGGATTTTTAGTTCAGCACTACCCATTACGATGTCATGGTACAAATTCCATGTCTTCAGTTTGAGTCTGCGCAGTATATACTTCAAATCTGTATCACGAAGATCCGGGTTCTTTTCCATTTCATGTTCGTATTCGTCCATTTCGTAATGTTCCTCATTACGATTCTGCCAATTATTAGATACGTCGGTACAGCCGTGATACGAGACAGGTCTGCGCATGCACAGCTCTTTCTGACGTGGTTTGCTAGGGTGTCGTAAGTTGAGATCACTCTGATTCAACACAGGGCAAGAAAATCCTCTTCCAAGAGTACATGTATTATATCTATATTCATAATGTTCATCAGATTTCATATTCATGTCGTCATCATAATAATCTTGTCCCCACACGAGTTCGTGTTCAAACGATATGCTATCACGTGACTTATCGCGTGTTTCCTCCAGTTCAAATTGAAGTTGTGTGTTATCGGCCTCCAACTTTGAAATTTCGATTTCTGAAACTAAACGTTTTTCTCTTTCTTCTATTAATTGCAGTTCAAGATCAGACACTTTTTCGGCTAGAGCTAGAACTCCAGGATTGTCAAAGCCACAACTTGAATATTCTCTTAATTTTGCACCACTATCGTCACTCTTCCATTTTGTTAAAATCTCCTCTTTGCTAAGGCTTTTGTTATGAAGACACAAGTTTGCAACGGATGCTGCCTTGCAAGGACGTCTCTCGTGCCATATTTCGTCTCTAACTTGATAGATATCTTCTACGCTTTTAAACTGTCTTAAAAGAAAACTGTGGCTTTCCTCAAGTTCCTTATTCTTCGTGGATAGATAACTCAACTCTTGCTCATGACACCTCTTTACATATTCAGCCTCTTCTCGTCGCCTTTTCTCTTCTTCAAGCTCTCGTAATAAATATCCTGTCGTTGTATCAGTGTCAGGGCTGTCAAACCCGCTACAGTACGAACTATCATGATCGCTGAACACCACTGAATTACGATTACTCTTTACTTCCTCCAGTTCTCGTTTTGTACTGTCATGTTTTTTACGTTCCTTTAGTAGTTCAAGCTTCAAAACCTGGACCTCACTCAACCTCTCTCTCATATCTTCCAATAAATCACTGATGTCTGTGGAAAGAGTAGGGGTGTTAGTCATATCGATCGAACTCCAGTCTAAATAGACATCTGTTTGGTATCAGAGAGTATRACTATGATAGTACAGGGTATGGCATCCAAATCGATCAAATAACCCAACGAGAAACGTTTGAACGCATTAGTGTAATTATTCCTCAAATATAAAACCGAGTTATATAAAAGGAGAAAACATTTGCATTAGACTTAAAAATAAGCGAGACATACTAAGTGCTCATTTGAATGAATTATTATTGTAATATAAAACCGAGTTATATAAAAGGAGAAAACATTTGCATTAGACTTAAAAATAAGCGAGACATACTAAGTGCTCATTTGAATGAATTATTATTGTAATATAAAACCGAGTTATATAAAAGGAGAAAACATTTGCATTAGACTTAAAATTAAGGGATTTTCCACACGGACAACCTTTCAGATGTTCTTGTTTAATGACTGTAACCACTTACCATATTCATCAAAGTTCTCGTCTCCCAGGATTTCTCTTGCTAAGACATCATGTTTATCAGTAAGAAGAAGACTTTTAACAAGATTCTTAAGACCGTCACGATGTCTCCTTAAAGTGTTCAGCAGGCTTTCGACTTTAACCTCTCTAGGTAGTTCGTTTACCCTTAGAATAGCTTGAAGATCATGATCTTGGTGRAAAGATGCGACGGTAACAAGATGCCTGAATAGATCGTTTGGTTCGAGCTCATCAACCAGTTGTTTTTGATAACAGGATAGAATGTCTTGATTCTTTGGTTCCATAGTATTCGCTAGCTAAACAACGATAGATCATTACCTTTTGTGTGGTATTAGTGTATTTATAGAATAGCAAGCTGTAAGAACCTTAAAGAGAGAGGCTTTGCGCTACGCCAGCTGTATATGAACCACAACAAACCTTTCACGGATAGACCAAACTTTATGTTGTTTATGTCATGTGATAGGATCATGATAAAGAAACTTGAGAATGGTGAGTGTCAGAATTAACGTCAGCCAATAATAAAATCATAACATTAATTACTACTGTACATAAAATTGACCGTTTTCTCTTCATTGTAGTCTTAAAAGCCGTTGACTACCGTTGGTTATGTCGCAAAATATATAAATTTGCTTCGCTAGAATTGACTAAATTCAAGTCAAACTGAATGTACTTGTAAATGTAGGTAATTTAAAATCACACACACACACGGACACACACAAACACATTGAAACAACCTCTTAGTAATTGTGTTCAGTTATCCATGAAAACCATTATGAATAACAGAATATCTCAAAATTCCTGCATCAGACCAGACACAAGTAGTTAATAAAGACAATATTTCTTTGCCTCTGAACCAATATTTTGGTGTTTTAAACCTTCTCTCTTTGCGTCATTTTAATGACAACAGCAAGCCATCAATATGTTTGATTAAAAGGACGCATGGCGTATGCTAATCAATACAACTACATACACTATAACTGGTGTAGTTTTATAAATAACTTGTAGACAGAGCAGTGTTGGAAATGTTCTTGCTTACCTGTTTAGTCTTTTCACAATGTCGTCCAACATTCTTTTATCACCTTAAGCGGATAAAAGATATTGAGCAAATCTATSGAACGTGAGTTCACTAAATAATCCAAGACATCAGTACTCCTCAATCGATACGAGGGGCACGTTCAATACCGTCGCTGCCTAACTTTCCTTTTTCTGTACTTTATGCCACTTGAGTTGAGGTAATGAGGTATAACATGATGATCGTTTCCCTCAGTCTCACTGTCGGCTATACGAAGGACAACAGTTCAGTTGAATCAGGACTTGAATTGTATATTTTACCGCCTAAATATGATAAATAATGCATTACTGGCGGTTAACAATAAATGTTTATATGCGCCAATCAAAAAACAGGATTATAATGTACAAGCAAATAGTTATAGACATTTGTAATTATCAAAAGAATCTTCAAACGCATTGGATTATTTACCAAACAATGCCAAAAAAAGTAACAGAGACATTTTAGGAAGAGTGGCGGAATAAATAGAGGATATTACATGGGCGCGCGGAGATACGAAATTATCTTCGAGTGTGCGCTCACTCGTGAGAGATTTTCAACACAAGAAGATAAATTGCGTATCTCCAAGCACCCATGTAATATTCTGTTTATTACACAATTATCAATGAAGTATGTTTTGGCTTTTTCAGGCAATTCTTTCCTTCCATGTATTTTTGAATAGCCATCGCAATGGTGTTATCTTCACACGTGAAAATAACATGTTATTTTCACGTGTGAAGATATCAATTTTTCGAAATAGAGAAAAATAGATATTTCATAGGTAATTATATAATGAAAACTTTTCATCGATCCTTTACTCTCATTCCCAGGAGAACACATCACGTGATTGTGGAGCAAGTAATATCCCGGGGATTCCCCTAAGAAAACACGCAATAAGAAAAAACCGAGTTTTGATTAATTTCTGGCCTCACACCACAAAGTAACTGATTCTACCCGTAATGTAAGTAAAACTAGCGCTTTTAAATAGCTAAAATAAGTGAACGACTTAAACTTTTATTTTATATTTCCAAACTGCGAGAAACGCATAATTTTATCGCTTAACTTGCACAACTAGCAAAAGGAAATGAAGATAAGAAAGTCGAGTTCTCTGTTACACAACTTCTATTAAGGCTTTATCTCTTTCTCTTTCTAGTAAAGATGAGCTTTATAGCTGATTCAGAAACTTTGTATCAATCGTTATTCGTCCGTTACCAGTCACACGATACCCGTATTCAGACAGGCTTAACACTCGTTGATTCGTATGCATAGCAATATGGCAACTTATTATTATGACCATTCTAACAGTGAAATATTTATCTTAGTTTTGATCATGATCCGTATTGCTGAATGTCTTTCTGTTCTAATAATACTTCGTTAGTTTCGGGAGGAAAGTAGAACGAATAGTAAGTCGGTTAAACTGAATAATTTAGGCATATATATATATATATATAGGGCAGAGAAGGTCTCGTCAGAGTGCTTTGTTGAGGCTTGCTGAAAGGTCTTAATAAAACCTCAAGAGCCGGTAACCCATTAATGTGCCGGATACATTTCCTTTGCGATGGACCTATCATCAGCAAAGGTAGTTTCATAGCAGTAAAACCGAACTTAGATTTTTTAGATAAAACTTCGCAATTATTCATATTGAGTCATAATTATTGAAAAAGTGGGGTCACTGTACTTGTTCGGTTAGAAGCTAAATGACGTCAATCTTCGCTATCTTGGGTGTCCGTTTGGATTGCTATTTTGTCATGTAATTATATAGTAATATATAAAAAATTAGCCTGGTGTAATAAAGCCCAGTGTAATATTTTCTTGGCGTTTTATATAGCCTGGCTAACAGATAAACTCAAATATATGACCAAATGATTACGCAAATACACTATACCTCGGATTATTCAGATGCATCCGCCTCTTTTACTTTTTAGCCCCTGTGTCCTGATCGCATTCTACATTGTATTGCAGGTATCGTTATCTCGTATCCCTCTTTCTTCTTACCTTGGTTAAGGTAAGTCCACACTCATTCAGCTTTACTTGCTCACTCCCTTCAGTTCCATTCCCCGCTGCTCCAACCTTATACACCGACAGAACCCTATACAGTCAGAACAGTAGGATACAGTCTTAGATTGTTCACTCCCTCAGTTCAGTTCCATGCCTTGTTCCAACCTTATACACCAACTGACAGAACC